GCGAGACTCCGGCGAGACGGACAGCACCAACATGATCTACCACGTCCCGCGAACCTAACCCGACCCTCATAACAGTTTCTGATGCACCGGAGTAAGCTCTACGTCAGCCATGGCGGCCACGGTGGCGCGGGCACGGCGGCGCACGGTACAACGTCGACTACAGCGCGGGAGAGAGTAAAACAGAGAGAGCATCACGCTCAGGAGCTCACCGCGAACACGACTGTGTGCTTGGTGAAGGCGGAGATGGGCTGGAGCGTCATGGCCACGGCGAAGTCAGTGATGGCGGTGCTTCGGCCGGCTCCGAGGAAGAAGGCGTCGTGCGGTGGCGCTGGACTGCTAGAGGCGAGGCTAGCAGGCCTGGAAGGAGAGGCAGGTCGAGGCGGAGGCACTGGTAAGCGCAATTGGCATGAGGTACTACGGTGAGGATGAATTTCACGAGCGCGGCAAAGTCACCGGCGGCGAACAGACGAGAAGAAAAGAAAAACGACGGCGACGGGTGCTCCTATTTATAGAAGGAGAGGGCGCCTCCAGCTTCGCCAGCTCCCGAACGAGGTCGCCACGGAGACAAAGACGTGTCACCGCGCGAGGAAGCGGTGAAGACGATCGGCGGCGACAGCTCGGTGGCGAGCAGGCGGTGGCGCTCTGTTGTCAACGAAATTTTTGAAATATTTACAGAATTGCCACTGAGTCCTTTTTACAAATTACTCCCAAAATTCCTAAAGAAGTTGAAAATCTCCAAAAATAAAAGTTGCTCAACTTTTCAAACTCTACAACTTTGCTTAAATGAACATTTTCAAATTCTGCTTCTATTTTGAAATTTGAATTTGAGGTGCATTTGAGCATTTGAATCATTTTAAAATTACTCCAAATTTTATATGTAAACTTTAAAAACTTTGAATACCAAAGTTGATCCTTATAAAATAAGCTTCAACTTTGCTTTTTGTCACAACCCCAAATTCCAAATGAATTTTGAAATAGACAAAAGGGGCAGAAAGGACTTTTATAATTGGAATTTGAATTCAAATTTGATTTGTTTACCTTTTTACTTAACTTTGATTTTTGACCAGTAACATGGCCCATTAGGGTTATTTGGGTCAAATGACACATGGTCTCACATGATCACATGAAATTTGACTCTTGTGATAATGATTTTCATTCAGAGTTTTGAATCACATTACATCACATAAAATAACAACTACGAAATAAAGCTTATTTAGTGAATGCATTCAAAATTTCCTACTTTATGAATGCTTTGCAATACATATGATGACATGTCAAGTTTTAATGCTAGGTCAAAACACCAGATGTGTTACAGCAACAAAGCCTTAATGTTATCCACTTATTCATCATCTCTTAGAGAATGGTGTGTGCCTCTCCTGCGCGGCTATGGCGTTGCCAGATTCCCCATGACCGCTGCTAACGTCCTCCTCCTCATCTCCTTCATTCTGCCTGGCCTTGCCATTGTTTGTTTGCCTTTCCTTTCCCCATCAAAGCTTGTTATAGCAAACATGAACATGAAGCCTGCTGCAACACGTCTTTCTCTTGTGATTTCCATTTTTTGACAAGCACTCTGCTGAATTCCTTAGAAGAGATTTGTATATTCTGGGTCAGTTACGACTGCATGCATGTGTTGTATCTTGTGATTACAGCACGCTTGTCCTATAATGAAGTACAGTAGTTTTTTTTTAGACTTTTTCGACTAAGGAGATTCTTCTTCCAGTAGCAATTTTCTACTCTTTTCTGAACATTTTGATAATAACTATAACTCTTGGAGATGCCGTTAACGCAGTCCGATTTACATCTGTTGCCGCTGACGTGGCACGCTAAAACCACCGCCGAAAAATCGTGGACGATCCAAAAATAAATAGTTTTAATAATAACAAAAAGTTATTAAATGAGTAAAATCAGACGCTGAAAAGTTTTTCCGGCTTCCTCTTCTCCGCCGGCTGGAGCCTTTTCGGTTCCGATCCGAATCCCCGCCCCTCGCACGGCCGGACGGCCCTATACTTGTACTAGGTTGATCGAGCGGGGAAAAAAACAGAGGCTGGCCGCCGGCCCTCGATTTCTTACACGATCCGGAGGCTGGGGTGGTGAGGACGCCGCAGCTCTTGAGTACGCAGCAGACGGAGCGGCGACAGCATCATCGTCGCAGAGTCTGTAGTAAGCCTCCTCCTTTCACCTCTCCCCCTGTGATCCTAATCCTGTCCCCTCACTCCTCGGCGAGATTCTCCTCCGTGTACCCTTGTGTGTTTGCTTCAGCCTTGTTTTCTTCTGTTAGCACCAGTATATATCTGTATTATCACCGATGTCTTGCATGTGTTAGATGAATCAGTCACTTCCATGTCTAAAGCAAAGAAGGGTAACTCAGCGCGCCGTAAACATCCAAGATATTCAGGGCCAAACCTCCCAGAGGTATGCTTATATATATTGCAAATTGCAACTTAGAAATTATTACTTTGGTTATTACTTGGTCAGTCCCTGTAGAATGTTTACTTAGGCTACTCGGTCCCTGTGTCTTCATAATGAGCTGCTGATCTGTAATAACATGGATCGACCTCTCTTGGCAGTCCCTGTTACAACTTACAATGATATCATGTCTCACCTGTAAGGCCATAGTCGGCACCTAGATTTCTATATTGCAGCATGCTATTATATTCCTACTTAGTAGCATTCCATTTCCACTGTTGTGTTTTTTATTTAACTATAGTAGAAAGATGTCCTCCTTTAATCTTAGACTTCTAGTATCTTCAATTCTTCATTACCTGCAGTAGTCTCTTGTTCGACTTTCGATGTGATTGTTGTGGTGTTACCTGTGTCCTGCTGCTATTTATGCTTACAAGATCCTCAGTGTCCAACTGCCCCCTAGGATTCTTCCACATCAAGCACATGTAGGAAGGATGCTAGCATGAATGCATGATAGTTGATACTGGCAACAGTCATAGTATCTCCATCTGCAAATTACACACAATACAAACATTCAAACACTATATTCAAAGACTCCAGTTAAAAACAGCGCTACATAACATTGCAGTTGCAGCAGCCGAGTTATTGTGAACTTGTGGCCATATGGCCATGTTCGGCTTACCCTATATTCGGCTTGTTCGGCTTCTTTTTTCAGCCGGAACAGTGTTTTCAGCTAGTTTCAGCCAAGTTTCAGACCAGCGAACGGGGCCAAACTATCGTGAGAATACTAGCAGTATAATATAGTCACTGAGGCAAACTAGTAGTACTTTTTTTATCTGATATAACATCTTAAAACATCATTATTTACCAAATACAGGTGTATGGCATGTATTTTACACTGCAACTAGATTTGTTGGATTCTATATATGCAAATCAGAAGTACCTTAGGCAGAAGATAATTTGCTTAACATGGCAATGCTCAACTAGTTGGAGTGTCAATTAGGCCCTGTTTGTATTGTAGGATTTCCAAAGGAAAAGTACAGGAATCAAGATTCCTCTATTTTATGTACTGTTCATGTGTTTGGAACACAGGATTTGAGCAATCCTTTCCTATGGAAAGTTTCCTTCACCCATGCATTTTGAAGGAAAGAAAACATCCGGTCTAGGCCATTGAAAATTTTCCTGTGACATGATGCGCATCTGCCTAAGCTACCGAACACTATTGCCATGCATCAGTGAGAAAAAGGACAAGACACAAGAGCCGAGGAAACAATTTTTATCTATTCACGTCGCTTGTGTTCTCGCCATGCACCAACTCCAGAACTTTGATCTACGATCTACGCTTCAGTGCTCCATTCTTGAGTTTATGACCTACCAAACCTAATCTCAAGCTACCAAGTTTAGCAAAACAAGCACATTATTAGTCCAAATATAATGAGATTCTTCTACTACCTCGTTCCTGCATTCCAAACGCTCATTCATGTAAATTTCCTGTGTTTTTCCATTCCTCTGTTTTACCACCACATTCCTTTCCTATTCCTATATTTTCTACCATTCCTACATTTTTTATTCCTCTGTTCCAAACAGACCCTTAATTGCTGGTTATTTTTTCCCTCCTGTTGGAGTGCGGAATAGGAGAAAGACCAACCTCAATAGTTTAATATGTCTTGGAGGCGCCACACTAGGCAATATTTAGTTTTCAAGGCACTGTCTGGCTCTTTTATATGGAAACATCATAGAGCATTCCGTATGGTCCTCTGTTTTCAATTGAAGAAACTACTTTCCCTTGCAATCCTAATGTTCAAATTGAATCCCTTTCCATGCATGTGCAGGCATCTGGTGCTATGTACATTCCCTACTGCCATTGCGAGATGCTGCTTGTGTATCTCACATGTTTCTAAGCGCATGGAGATGTTATTACCCCAACCTAATCTTCACTAAGAAAACACTGAGTTTGAAACAAAATGCATGTGGAGAAGATGATATAGGAAGAGCTTTCACATGCATAGTTGACCAGATTCTAAAAAACCACTCAGGCAATGGCTTGAAGACACTCAAACTTAACATCTTTCATTGTCACAATCTTGACACTCATTATCTCAACAACTGGCTTCAGATTGCTATTACACCAAGGGTTGAAAACCTCATCCTTAAGCTACCTTTACAATACGAGGAAGGGTACAGCTTCCCGTGCTCACTTTTATTTGGTGGGAACGGAAACTCGATTCAGCATCTTCACCTCACCTCTTGTGCCTTCCGTCCCACGTTTGGCATTGGTTGCTTTAGAAGCCTAACAAAGTTCTACCTGTTTGGAGTGCGTATTACAGGAGAAGAGTTAGGGTGCCTTCTCTCCAATGCTTTTGCTTTGGAGCAGTTTGAACTCAGAGATTGCAGTGAAATAATCTGCCTGAAGATACCCAGCCTGTTCGGCTGGGGCTGAAACGATCGTATACGATCGTGGATTATTACTGCTGGCTGGTTTGGTGTGAGAGAAAAATACTGTTCTTGCTGGAAATTTATGATCGTTTACAACCAAGCGAACAGGCCGACCATGTGTGCTGCAGCGACTCAGCCGCGTGACTGTGTCTACATGGGAAATGCTGCAAATGATAGAGAGCAAAGCTCTCAACCTCTCCACCTTTAAATTTGTCTTCGACGGTGACCAAGTACAATTATCTCTTGTGTCTTCACAAGTGAAGAACATAAGTATGGACTGTATAGATGACTGCAACCTTCTCTGTTATGCTATTACCAAGCTTCCATATATCACACCAAATGTTGAAACTCTTCGTTTGTCTTCACTTAGTGAGGTACGATCTGAAGCTCTATATTATTATGTACCTCTGTGATTTTTGACAGTAGCAGTAATGCTTTCAGGCCCTGAGATATACTAATTCGTATGGGATATCTTCCCACAGATGGTTACTACACCCATGGCAGCAGCCAAATTCCTCCACCTCAAGCACTTGGAAATTTATCTTGATGGAGACATTTCCCAAGGATATGATTATTTGTCTTTGGTTTCTTTTCTCAGCGGTTCTCCTGTTTTGGAGACTTTCATCATTGGCGTAAGTCGCTATTCTTTTTTTTGAAGGAGTAAGTCTATTCTTCTTGCAGAACATATAAAGTATCTATGGTTATCGATTGTTTAAGTGAGTTCTACTCTTCTGCAGGTAGATCAGGACGAAATGTCGTTTCATTCAGTTTTTGGAGATGCCTCACATATGAGGCAGATGCTTGAACACAAGCATGGTAGCCTCAAGAATGTGACGATCTTGGGTTTCTGCTCCGCGAAGAGCATGGTTGAGCTAACATGCCATATTCTTGAGAATGCAACGTCACTGGAATGTATCACCTTGGACAGCGTATTTTATCGGAATGACGACGACGATGTTGGCAGGTGTTCTTTAACTTCTACCCGCAAAACTGGTGACTGCTACTATCTGAGTAATGAAAAGATCTTGGAAGCCTATAACGGGCTCGAAGCCATCCAAAGATACATCGTGGGGAGAGTACCCTCCGCTGTTAAGCTAGATGTCCGGGGGCCCTGTTGCCGGTGCCATACTTTGGAGCTCTAGATGTCAACTTGAATGTTTATTTAACTGTAAAATATTCATCTTTGTAGCATTGCATATGTTTTGCGTTCCTTATTAAGTTATATATCCTTAATATTACATGTACCTTCTAGGTGTACTGTGCATTGCTGCAAATACTCGTTAGAAAATGTAGGGTCAAACATTTTTAATCCCTTCTCTATCTCTCCTTCCCTGTAAGGGTGAACTGTGGAATGTGCATTGGGCCTGTGTCTGGAACACAGGATTTTTTTTTCATGTTCCTGCGGTTTTTCTGCGCTCCCAAATTTATATGATTTTGTCTTCGTCACTATCACAACGGAGGTATTTGCACCAAATTCTCACGCGCATACCACAACCAGAATACAAACTTGTTTTGCATGAACCTCACCTATCACTACACCCACAAAGTCACGATTCTTTCATTTTGTTTTGGTATTAGTGAATCTTGTAATGAATATTTGAGATCCTAAATGATTTCAAATGAAAAAAAAAGTTTGAACAGAAAAGTTTTATCTTGTTGAGTACTACAGTTTTGGTTTATGTCATATCTCCATCCATAGCCATTTAGAAAATTCAAAAAAATAAATTTCAAAACTTGAGAACTTAAAATATAGTTTTTGGACTCTAAATAATTTCAAATGAAAATATCATTAGTTACAAAGTAGATATAAACATTGTCTTCATCTGATATTAGTATGTTGCATGCTAGCTTTCAAACTAACCAGACAACTCATGAAAGTGCCAATACGCATTCTCCAATGCAGAACAACTCAAAATTCTACCTTTTTGGATACTTGGATTAATGTATCATATCTCATTCCACAAACATGTCGATGGAGCATTTGTATATAAAATGCAATGTCTAACTAACAAACATGCAATGAGTCAGTTATATTGTGGTTAAGAGTAATGACTAGAAAACAAACATTTTTTTCTTAGTGGCTACAACAATTTAATTGAGGGTTTGTACTCAAGAAAACTGGCATTTCTTTGGCAGATTCCAATTACACTCAAGAAAATGTGCATTTTCCTTGGTGTCGTGGAAGAACACCTAGAAAATATTAAATTATCTTGGCGGTTTGTAATAAGACTAAAAAATATAGAATTACGTTAGCAGTTTCGAATAGCACCCAAGAAAAAACTGGAACTACATTGACAGTTTGTAATAGCACCTAAGAAAATATGAAAATACCTTGGCGGTTTAGGATAGCACTTAACTTCTTGCAGGTTTCCTACAACCACCAAGCTAATGATATATTCTTGAGGGTTCGATTTTGTCCCTCAAGGAAATTATTAGCTACCAAATATTTCATTTTCGGTATTGAGTACATATGCCCATGATTTTTTTTATTTTCATATGAATTTTGAATTTCTAGAATATGATTTTGCATATCAAATTACAATGTACATCTATAAATGCATTATGGATGTGCATCATTTCAAAAAATTTGCTAAGTATGGTTTCTAAGGGGGGTTTGAAGATTGCACCGATATTCACCCGACCGGAAATTAGCCATCTTTCTTAAGCAAAATAATGAACTCCATTTTTAGGGTGAAATAATCATAAATATTTGCCGGCCCATCAACATGTTTGCATGTATTTGGCGTCCTTTATTGGAGAGTACGGTGTGTCAAATAAACTCCGTACATCACTATCTAAAAATGCATTACAAATTTCAAACATGACAAAAGTTCACCGTGGTGGTTACGGAACGATGACAAAACCAAGGAATTTTAGATAAAGAGAAGTTTATTTCATCACTCAAATGAAAAATATCCTGATCTCAATATCATAAGATGCTTGTGAACGTACATTATTACAAAGGAATATTAATACTCTTTACATATAGCATAGTCGCACGGCTCGAGAGAAAATAAAGGGACATTTGCTCCTTTGTTTACTACCTCTATCCACAAAATATACAACTATGGTTTGTGTACCGAACAAACTAGTTTCAGTTTGACCAAGTTTATAATAAATAATATTAACATTTGTTTCTCCATTAAAATTTATTATAAAAATATACTATATAATTAATCTAATGATACTTATTTTGTCATGAATGTTACTTTTTTATATAACTTTAGATAAAATTCAAATTGTTTAACTTCTCGAAAAGCAATAGCTGCATTTTTTTGGATGAGGTGTCTTAAGTTTTTCAAAAAAAAAATTACAAGTTTTGCTAGCAATTGTTTAAATTATACGTGGGAGGATCTGAACCACAAATCTTTCCAAAGAAATTCATTTTTCTCAAAAATCCAGCAAGAGAATTGCCGGTAAATTTATTAGACAGCAAATAAAAAACAACGTAAAAAGAGAGAACAACACGCACAACACAAACACGTAGAGGCATTAGCCTTAGACTAAAAGCTAGGCTCCATGTTGGCAAGAAAAAAAATAGAACTACCATTCAACTATACATAGTAAGGGCATGCATATAGCACACATTCTTGAGTGTTCTCTCCTACTGTGTGTGTGTCACATAGGGGCACTAGTTTTTCTGCGAGCTCGAGAGACCACCAAACGGAGTAACATGGAACCATGATACACAGGTGGAAGTTAGGGCAGCATGCCAACATGGTGCATTGGGAAGCACTAAGGGCGTGTTTGGCATGGCTCTGGAGCTGAACTCCAGCAACCCCAGCTAATTTTTCAGCCAAACACCCCAGCTCTAAAACTCCATGAAACTGCCAACTCCATGAAGCTGTAGTGCAAATGCAGGTGGAGTTTTGGAGCATCTCTTTTGCAGCTCCAAAACCACCCAATATGAACCTCCTCGTGGAGTTGGTGGGTAATTACCCACCAATGCCACTAGTTACACAGAAAACGGTTCGTTCTTTCTATTCTCCGTCTCCTTCCCGACGCAACCCCTGCCTCATCCCGCCACTGCCGACCTGCCGCCATTCACACTCCCCCGACGACTGGAGGGCGCATCCCCGCCGCCACCCCCACCTTCCCCGTCCGTGCCGCAGCCTGTGCCGTCCCATGCGATGCCACCGCCGTCGTGCGTGCCGGCCGGCCTATTCTCACTCCACCATCCGCCACTGCTCCCACCTCCCCGTCATCCCCCACCCTGGTTGCGAGCTCGTGTCTCCGGCTCCTCGCCGGACGCCAGTGGCCAACGGTATTACTGCTAGTATCAGAGAAGGTCGATCCTTGGCGTGGGTGTGTGACGGCGCAGGCGGCAGTCGACTTGGGAGCTGTTCGGGAGCACTCAGGGGCGGCAACTTCACCTTGCCCTTCAGGTGTTCGACGAAATGCCTACTTGCGGTTCTCAGAGCTGGACGCTCCCAAATCACGTCCTGGAGGTCACCATCCACAAGGAGCAGGTGCTGATATGTAACAGAACATGTGCTTCGTCAGGTTTTTAGTCCATTTGGCGATATGGAGCAGGTGCAAGTGTTTGGGGGGTTAGGCCATGTGTCTGCTCAGGTTGTTTTCCGATCCAAATGTGATGCTGTTGAAGCTTTCGGAGAGTTGCATGGTCGCAATATATATGATGGTTGTTGTCAGCTTGATATCCAGTATGGTGTGGAGGGCATAAACCCCAACATAGATGCCCCAACACTACTACAAAAACGATGTGTAGCAACGCCTTTCTTTCTTTGTAGGAGCGGCTCTATATTGAGCCGCCTCTATAAATGGTTGCCAAATAAGCCGCCCTTACAAATGGATTTGTAGAGGCGGCTGGTGTTATTAGCCGTCTCTACAAATGGCCCGATTTGTAGGGACGGCTCTATATCCAGCCGTCCCTACAAATCGGATTTGTAGGGACGGCTCAATATTGAAGTGCCTCTACAAATAGACGCCGAGTATTAAAAATGAAGCACTAAAATTCAAATTTTGTAAACGACCTCGAATAAAGAAACAACCAAAATAAAAGTTGTAGGTCTCGAAAAGTTATCAAACTTTGTAGTTGACAACTTTTTAATTTAAAATCATCTTGTCAAGGAAAATTACGTTTGAATTTCCAAAATTTTGAATGTGGTTCCTATCAGGGCCGTCCCTGCGCATGTGCAGCATGAGCGACGGCGCAGGGCCTCCAAATCTCGTAGGCCTCCAAATATAGAGTACATAAATAGATCAGCACAGCTGAAGCTTTAACTTTTGGCCCATTAACTAGCAAGCCTATTACGGCAGCTTGCACAACAACAATTTGGCCTAATAAAAATGATTTGTTGGTCGGCCGCCGGACAGTGGGCATCATTTTGTTTTGCCAATCCCAATTCACAGCAGTTAGGTCTCGGTCTCCTCGTCCCCTACCGCCGCCATCGCCCTGATGCCGTATCGGCTGCCGGCCGCATATCACGAGCGATCGACATTGAGCGTGAGGAACTGACGGCAACCTAAACCTGCAACGACTAGTAGGCCACATTTTTTAGCTTGGTACAACGCCTTGAATTTTCTCGGGACGGCCCTGTTCCTATATGGTCACAGCTTCAACTGTTTGGAAAGTTGCAAGCAAATAGAGTTAGCTCATTTGGTGTAAGGAAACAGCTGGCAGGTTGCATATCGGCCTACAGGGGCTCTTCCGAACTGACTTACCCTTTTTGCAGCTCATTCAAATTAACTTGCACGCTGACTTGGCCACTAATCCAAATCCCAGGACTAGCCAAAGCCTCCTAGCTGGCTTGTTCTGATGTATCGGCCTAATCGGCTGTGCTTATTCAGCTGTGGTTATGGCTATGGCTGTTTACAGCTATGTGTACGGTGTAGTCCAGTTTATTTTTGCAGTCAAAGTAGCAGCTGCAGGCCTACATGTGAATTATTTTTGCAGATAACTTTTTGATTTGAAATCATCTTATCAAGGAAAACTACGTTTGAATTTCCAAAAATTTAAAATTTGAATTTTTTAAACGACCTTGGATGGACAAACAGTAAAAATGAAAGTTGTAGATCTTGAAAAGTTATGAAACTTTGTAGTTGATAACTTTCTCATTTGAAACTATCTTGTTATGGAAAACTACGTTCGAATTTCTTAAATTTGAAATTCAAATTTTAT